TTCACCGTCGAGGAAGTGGGTGTCTACGTGTTCGCCTTCGAGGAAGAGAGTGTCTAAGTGTTCGCATTCGAGGAAGTAAGTGTCTAGGTGTTCGCCGTCGAGGAAATGGGTTTGTTTGTAAGAAACGTCGTCGTCGTCGTCGTCGTCGTCGTCGTCGTCATCGTCGTCGTCGTCGTCGTCGTCGTTGCCAGCTACGGAGTGAGGAAATGCATTCTGGAATTTTTGGCGCAGGAGATAAATGTGGTCGCGACAATATCGATCGCTGCGATCTGTATGATCGTTAAAGTCGGATTATTAAGTGTCTCGGCCAAGAAGACTAGAACCAGGAGAGTAAACTAGCGTGGTGGGGGTAGGTCAAAAAACGTCCGCGATTATTCATTCAATGCGCAGTGGCATTGCACATTGAATGAAAGTTTGCGCATGCGCGCGTCGGTTATAACCAAGAAATCTTGTTCTTAACCTTTGCGTTATCAAGAAGTCTTCTTGGCGTTATATAGCCCAAAAAGGTTAGGGCTAGAGACGCTTTATTTTCCCCTCATCCGAGGGACACATTTAAAAAAGAAAAAAATCTTCTTAAACCATCTTAAACAGAATGTAAGTTGTAAAAAGAAATTATACTGTATATTAAATAACTTGTTTATAGGTAAATTCTGTATTGTATACAAATTTTGGAGTATGATTACAGTAATTTTTTTTTATTTATAGAATATTATTAATATTTCCGTCGTTGTTGGAATAACATATATTGAAATATGTATGATTTTTAGTCTTCTTGAGTCCAAAATTCAATTAAACAGAAACAAGGTTTGTTTGACATGCGCAGTCACGAATTGAAAACGACAATTCGTATCATATCAGAGCGACAGAGAGGACTAATGAAGCGCAAGAGTGGGGGAAGTTATCCGCCGTCACTTTTTGGCCTACCCCCACTACCGATATTTGACCGAGTTTACTCTCCTGGTTCTAATCTTCTTGGTCTCGGCAATAACCATCGACATATAGAATGGACTGCTGATGGCAATGATGGGGGTAGAAAGACGGATAAAGTGAGAGGCAGAAATAACATGATCGTTCTTTCTCTGTTTACTGATAACTACTGATTACTATTGGTCGCTGTTAATTCAACAACCAATCAGGCTTCAGTAAACAGAGAAAGAACGATCATGTTACTTCTACCTCTCACTTTATCCATCTTTCTACCCCCACCATTGCCATCAGCGGTCGATTCTATATGTCGATGGCAATAACAAATGATTGAGGTTAGGAACTCTGTTACATTGATGGCATAAACGAATACGGAAGTGAGATTAGAATAAATATTGATCTCTGCGATCTGTACGATCGTTAAAGTCGGATAAAGTGTCTCAGCAATAACAAAGGATTGAGGTTATGGAATCTGTCACATCGATGGCATAGAATAGACGAACACGTAAGTGCGGTTAGATATTTTCTGTTTTATTACACAAATTCTCTGCTGTAATTCCGCTGTAAGAATATCTACAAATTATTTTCTATATAATTATTTTCTTTTTATAACAGCATTTGGTTAGGTTACTTATTTACCGAGACACTACCGCGTCTCCAGATCTGTCATTTATTTGTTTGGTAGATACCTTACTTTGTATTCTCTATTCCTTATATAATTATAAAAAAATTGATTCTTTGTACTTTGTTTGTAGGAAAAGTCTGAAAAGAAAAAAGGTATGGATTTAAATGATTATTGCCTTTTCTTTTCAGGACTTTCCCTTTAATAAACCTGAAGATAAAATAGAGCACAAAGAATCAATTCTCTTATAATAATAAAGATAAAACTTATTTGATACAGTTACTCAAAACATGAAATTACTTGGTTTTAGTATTGAAACCTTTAAAACTTTAAATAATTATCTAATAATGAAATATATTATCATGGAGAGAGAAAGTAACTGATATATTATTGAAGGTGCCAGTTCAAAGTGAACATTCATAAAATGTATATCCTTTTGTTGCATATATTTTGTTCCACGTAATAATGATTTAACAACACATGTACACTAATTGTTTATAATAGTAAGTTCATAAAGAATTTAATAGCTCGTAACCCTGTTTCTCTCCATTTGTTTTAAATTTATTACAATCTACATTATAATAGCAATGTTAAATCATTATTACGTATATATGCAACAAAAGAATATATACTTTATGTATGCTTACTTTGAACTGGCACCTTCAATAATACGTGAGTCATTTTTCATGGTAATATGTACCATTTCATTATCTTTCATTAATAAAATGTATTACGTTAAAATAGACAATTTGGTATAAGAATTCTTTTAAAATTAATATTGATCTTTTGTGATTTATTTTTAAAATGTAAAAAACTGTTATATATACATA